TAAAATTAAGCTATATAAACAAATGATTTTTAAATATAATTTGTAAAATATTGGGATAACGACAACTTAAAAATATATTAGACCTAGTAATACTGATAGTTATAGAAATCATGCGTATAGCTCATACACGTCGAATCAAAGGGAATCAGACATAAATAGTATTGATCGTACAAGTATTCTCCCTATATTACGTCGATTTGATAAATTGTGAATCATGACTTATATTAGTTACTAAAATGTCCTGCAATTAAGTAATTTTCTTAAGCATTATGTTTAAATAAAATTAAACTATATATTTAAATAATTTTTAAAAGTAATTTGTAAAATATTGAGATAACAACAACTCAAAATATATTAGACTTGGTAAATCTCGATAATTATAGAAACCATGCATAAAGTCCATATATGTCGAACCAAGGAGTCAAACATTAATAGTATTAGTTATACAAGTCTTTTCTCTATATTACGTCGATTTGATAAGTTGTGAATCACTAATTATATTTGTACTAAAATGACATCTATCTAAGTATTTTTTTTAAATTATTATTTAAATAAAATTAAAGTATATAATTAAATATTTTTTAAATGTAATTTATAAAATATTGGATAACGACAACTCAAAAAACATTAGACCTGCTATGTCAAACCAAAGAGAGTCAAACATTAATAGTATTAATCGTACAAGTTTTATCCTCTATATTACGTCGATTTGATGAATTAAGAATTTACTTATATTTGTTACTAAAATGACATCCAAATTCAAAGTAAGTATTTTTTTTTATCATTGTTTTTGAATAAAATTAAACTATATATAATTTTCAAACATAATTTGTAAAACATTTTAAAAATAATAACTCAAAACATATTAAACCGGTCAAACACTATTTTCTATTTTTTTGCCAAATATATTTGGGAATATGTATGGGCTAAACAACACCAAGATGTATATAATTAAAGTTAAAAAAATATTTTTTTACTACTGATGTCACAGTTTTTTTTTTTTGTAAAACATAATTTGAAAACAATTTGTTTCACTTAATATTCTCTTGGAATTTGTAGTCTTTTTACATAATTGACTATAAAATCATCAATAATTAATGTCATTACTTATTTTCAATATATTGGAAACATGATGGAAGAAAGATTTTCCAAGAATATATTCAATTTTTAAGTTAAAGGGGCAAAAATGTCTAAAAAAAACTAGTTTATAGTGTGAATAGATCTTTTTACCCTTCTGGCTAAATTATGATTAAAATTTTCTAGCCAAAAAGACTTTTTCAAAAATAAAAATGGACGAAAGAGGAAAACAGCAAACATCAATTTTCGACTCGTTTTGATTACTTCTAAAGCAATAGTACTAGCATAGTGTATATATATTTTTTTAAATAAATTAAATAACACAGATGTTACTCCCTTTTCTTCTTCTTTTTTTAACGGAAAAGGGCCAAAAATATCCTTGTACTATTCGAAAAGGTTTAAAAATACCCTCATCCATCTATTGGACTAAAAATACTCCTCAGTCAATCTTTTTGGTCCACTATTACCCTTTAAACTAACAACCTTATATTTTTTAATTATTATTATTATTAATTATTACGTGGCGTCTTTCTATTGGATAAAGTTTAATTCCTACCCACCAAACTTTCTCATACCCCATCCGACCCATATTGACATCCCTTGACCCAAACCCAAATACAAGATCCATTTGAAAATTAAAAAAATTGAATCATCTCTTCTCCCTCTTAACCTAATATCCTATTTTTCTTCTTCCCTTTTTTTTATTAAGCAATTTCAAGATCAATTTCACTATAAGTTTGGTACAAGTGTGCTTATAAATTTTCAGTATAAGTTGCCCTTTTTTGACATTTTGCAACTGTGAATGTAATCCTCACCAGCGTACATCATGTAAGGTAAGAGAAGCTCATTGAAGTAATCCGAAATGCCAAGACTTCTAACAGAAATTAAAATTTAAAATTAAAAGATTAGTTTTATGTAAGGCCTAACATCTGACATAAGCCGCACCAATTTTGCATCTTAGCAGATGATTTCATTCTGAACATTATTTGCATTGAGAAGAAAAAACTAAATCTATATTTCACTTGAGATTAATCTTGAAATTGCTTAATAAGAAAAGGGGAAGAAGAAAAATAGGATATTAAGTTTAGGGGGAAGAGATGATTCCATTTTCTTAATTTTTAATGGATCTTGTATTTGGGCTTGGGTCAAGGGATGTCAATATGGGTGGGTGGGGATAGGAGAAAGTCTGGTGGGTTGAAATTAAACTTTATCCAATAGAAAGATGCCACGTAATAATTATTAATAATAATTAAAAAATATAAGGTTGTTAGTTTAAAGAGTAATAGTGGACCAAAAAGATTGACTGAGGGGTATTTTTAGACCAATAGGTGGATGAGGGGTATTTTTAAAATAGTACAAGGGTATTTTTGGCCCTTTTCCGTTTTTTTAACAATCCAAAGGGGCCAGGCAGTTACTCTCATTTTATAAGCTTATTCAAATGGGTACTTAAATCTATTGTAGAAGATGTTGGGGAAATAATTGAAAATTTCACAATAATAATATAGTTTATTATTTAGTAAAATAGTAGTCCTGAAAATTAGATAAATATTACTACTATGATATATAAATAATAGTGCATAAAATTAATACTTCAATCATGTTGGATATTGTCTTAAGAAATTATTTCAACGGTGTGAAATATTTTTCTAGAATTAAACAAGCATTCCCTATATCTTAAATAATCAACAAATTAATTAGCATCACCAAGTTATTAAGGGATATAAAATAACAAAGCCAAAGAATTAATTAACTTAAAATGAGAAGATTATAAGAGACAGAGGCCTAGAGAAACAATAAAACATACTCCATTAGCAAGCATGTCTTCTCTACTTTGCTCAAAGAATTCATGTCTATTTATAGACCAATAAGAAACCTAATCACAAGACAAATGTCTTAGACACTTGTCCATTAGTTTTCATGCAAAAAATCATTATAAGACAAGTGTCAAGATGGGTGAAAAAGAATGGCATACATGGCCAAGTGGTTGAAGTTGCCATTTCTCCAAGAAATGGAACTTCTTAAACTCACTATTAATTGGCTTCTCAAATACACACCAAAATAAATCTTTTGAAATAAATATTTTGCTTACAGAAGAAATTTCAATTTTTAAATCATTTTTCGTATTACAAATCTGCTATATATTAATGATGTTCATTTGTTAAAAGATTATGTAGATTAATTCAAATATACTTAATCGTGATTTATTGTATTCCGGATACTTAACGAGACAGCTAAACTGTAGCTATACCTCATAAATATACAAACTATAGCTATGGAATATAAATACATTTATTATAATTGTTATTTGCAAAATTCCCCTTATGTTATTGTAAATCTACGTACTGGTTGGATTTCTTCTCAAAAAATAAGACCTTGAAATCTTGAATTACTAGTAAATAAGCCCATCAAGTGCATGAGCTCCATAAATAAAATTAATATAACTTAGTTAGGGGCATCCAATATCCCAAAATCCAACTAATATTATATTCTAAAGCACGTGTTAATGAACACAGATTATAAAATACTCCACCTTATAATTTTATATATATTATTATCAATTTTAAAAGAAAACAAATCATCAGTAAATCACATGATATGGACTTTAGGATCGTGTTAGGTGTTCTGTACATGGCTGTTTTTGTGTGTTCTAATTAATTAAAAAAACGTTAGTTGCTAATATTCTCCACATTTTGTTTGGTAAGGAAAGTGGGAGGAAACACATTTACGCTAGAGAAAGTTCAAAGAATTTTTATTCGTGGACTTTATTCTTTTTTATAAGTACATTTAAACTTTGTGTGATCTGTAAAATATTATCATGTTAAATAAAATAGAGAAAATATATCACGACATATTAATTAGTATATAAAACTTTGTGTGATAAATGAAACATTATTAATATGTAAAATAAAAGAAGGGAAGCATATCACGCTTGACGCGGATGTATATAGATATAGATAGATAAAATTATAAAATAATTGTTTTTAATTACTAATGTTAATAATTGTTCTAATAATATTTGAGATTTAATTAGAATTTGCACTCGACTTATGGCATGATAAATTGAAAATTTGGAAGTAGGAGTTTATAATAAAGAGAGATAATAATCAAATACACTTTTGAATTATTCTTATAAAAAAAGTGTTACAATATACTCTTTTTGTTTGAACTATCACCATTTCATTCATTTTTCTATATGAACTATGTATCATCATCTGTCTATTTAAAATAAACCTCATTGTAAAAACGATGACAGTTCAGATAAAAAAAAAACTAAAGAATTAAAACACACACGGAGAATTAACTATCAACTCTAATAAATATATATTGGTCCAATGGCCATATTGATGAAAGGAACAATTGAATACACCTACTGTCTACCACACAACATAAAACACTTTAAACTGAAAACAACTTGAACTAATGAGCACTACCAACATATAAAAAAGTGTCATTTTCAAGTTTACTAGGAGTCATTGAACATCTTGGTGGAATGATAAGTACTCTTTCATCATTAATTAAGAGGTCTCGAATTTGAGTCCCAAACATCAATGTAGGATTTTTTGGTGCGAATCTAAATTTAGTTCGATGTGGATACTGAACGCCGGAAAAAAAAGAAAAAAGGGAGTCATTGAACAAATACGTCCTAGCATTATCAATTATATTTTTTTATTTTATCTTTTTCTGGACTTTATAATAAAGAAGATGGAACTTATCACATAGGGATGCAATTCAGAAAATAGGGCATACATACAAAGTACCACAAAATAGGTTAACCAACAAACAACAAATAACATACCAAAAATTGCAAAATAAAAGGACAATGATATTACTTTTTTTTAATTCTACAGCTCATAATTATTGATTATTCAGAACGACCCCAACAAAAGTTGTGATTTGCACATCAACACCCCCACTTAATTAGTGTAATTTTTCAGTGCGGCCCCATCCTCACAAGCTTTAGCTTCAGGTGTTGGCTCTACCGTCGGCGACGGAGGAACCGCCGTACACAACAACTCAGATGGCAGATCGGGGATCCCCTTCAAGTAAAAAATGTAGAATAGCTTGAAAGGGAAAATGAGTTGATGCAATTTTACTTGACCGGAAACCCCAGCAAATATGCCAGATCCGCCGGTGACGGCGAGGTAAGTGTCTTCATAGGTTAAGTACGATCCCTGAACGGCGATTTGACCGTAATCGCCGAAGTAGAAGCTGTAAACAGCTTCATAGCGATCTCCTTTCTTCTCTTCTTCGTGCTTGATCAGAATGCAGAGTCCTGCTGTTATTCCAATTCTCTTCTTTAGGTCTGCAGTATATAGCTGCAACACACCAATAATCAGCATAAGAATAAAAAAGTGAAAAAAAGATTCGTTCTAGGTTCTGGTATTTTGATTGCAAAAAAGAAACGTACCTTGTTGCTAAAGGGGACAAGATCTCCGAGTGAATTGACATTCTTTTGGCTCAATCGAAGATAAGCAGGGCTTCCACGGTCACGTTCATTGAGCTCATAGACACTAAGTTCTTGAACTTCAGCTGAAATCAAGAAAATATCCCAAAAAAGAAAAACAGAACAAGAAAAAAATAAGTATCACAGATTGAACATAAGGTTTTTGATAAAATGTGATAAAGAAGTTAAATATTCTTACTGTTAGTTGAATCTGTTGAGCTGTTCTGGCTCTTGCAGGAAAATGATCTGGAAGCAGTAGTAAGTTTATGAGTTTGAGAAATGAGAGGGTTAGGGAGTTTAAAAGATTGGATCTTTTGAGAAAGAGAAGTAGTTTGGAAGGCAGAGGGTAGCTTGTATGAGGAAGAAGAAATGGCTCTAAGAGCAGCAGAGGCTGAGGAAACAGTGGCCATTGCTGAAGAAGAAATGAACTATTTGTTGGTTCTAGTGGTAAAACAAAAGACTTACAAGAAAGTTGAATAAGGTTGTTGTTGAGACGGATGAAATGATCGTTGGTGGGGTGATCTATTATATAGAGTGGTGAGGGGGTCCAATTTCCATGTGTGGAAAATGGGAATCGATTTAGTGTTCGTTATCCGCATTAGAATTTAATTATTTTTGAATTCACATTGCATATAGAGGCGTATTTAAGGGGGTCATCGGGTTCACGTGAATCTATGGTCCCCTTCCGAGATCATATATAGTAGTGTTATATTTTTTTTAAAATATTGAAATATAGATGTGTGAACTCACACTCGAAGTATCACATAATGCGATTATGATCGGGTGTATCTCTCTCCGCGAGGTTAGAAATTTGAATTTTATATTTATTTTGTTTTATTTTTCTTTCTAAAATTAGATAACACTTCTCTAAGTGGTAATTGGTAATATATATATTTTTTAGACCTATAATTTTAAAATTTTAACGATTTTTAGTAATAAAAATCTAAATGTCAAGATCAAATTTATATCATATATCAACATTTTTATATCAATGCACCCATCATTTTAAAATCCTGAAAACGCCTCTGATAGCATAGGGTCCCATTCGGGGGGAAAACACTATCTACCAAAAAAAAATTCATATTCAAAACTCAAATATGAAATCTCTAATTAAGACAAGAGCAACCTCATTCACTATACCACATTAATACTAATTATAAGATGTGTGATTGATTATATTGATGGACGGTGTTAGATGTGATGATGGGAGTTTGTGTGTTTTTCACAAGTTGAATACTCCCCTGTTTCTAATTATTTGTTCATTTTTTTTTAGTTATCTCTAATTATTTGTTAATTTGATAAATTTAAAAAGAATAATTTTTTTTACCTATTATATCCTTAATTAATTATTTTGAAAAATGTATATCTTCTTGAAAAATTTAATTCATCTACTTCATAATTAATATGAATTAAATAATAAATTTATTATATCAATTATTATTTTCTTACTAAGGGGTCGTTTGGTAGAGTGTATAAGAATAATGCTGAATATGATGCATTAGTAATGCAAGCATTAGTAATGCTTGCATTATTTCTTATACATTATTTGGTTTGATGTATTGGAAATAGCAAGCCTTGTATAAAGACTATTAAAAATATTTGTTTACAAAAATACCCCCACATTATTATAATAATAATAATTATTATTATTATTAGGCTTAGAGGGTAGTTTTGTCATTAGTTAATCTAATGCATGCATAAACCATTGCATTGCTAATACCTAGAAATCCATGGTATTAGCAATACACACCTTAATACACAATAGAGTGTATAACTAATGCAAGCATTAATTATACATAGGTTGGAAAAGAGTATCAAACAAGGTACTAGTAATACATAATATTAATGCATGCGTTATTTTTCCTAATACACTCTACCACGACCCCTTACAATCATAACAAAAAAGGAAACACCAACGATATGACGTACTTGAGAAGATCTAAATGATCTCCACTTTTACTTATAATAACAAGCATGATTGATTGTTAGTCAACAATAGGGACAAACAAATAAGTAAATACTGCAAAAGAATTCAACGATGAGATTTCTTCTTCTTTTTTGTACTGGTAAACTTCATGATTCTACTATTATATTATATATAATATAAACATAAGGCGATCGAAGTAGGAATTTTTCGACTCTTGAGAGCTAAATTTTCACATTATCCAGCAAGTGTAAGAGTATGGAATCGGGAATATACAAGCACTGCATATGTTTATACGAATTCTACCAAAGGTCGAAAGCATGTGAATTCCACCTTCAACTTTACCCACATTTTGCACAACCTCTAAGTGTGTTAATTTAAAAATGAACAAATAATTAAGGACATTAGAGAATAGTCAAAGGTTGTCAAAGAATAAACAAGAATGTTATGGCCAATGTGAGAAAAAGTGGCTACACGTGTTTCTCCTGTCTGTGCTGTTTTTTGAAGTGGCCAACGCAACTATTCATTGGTGGTCTCTGCGGCTCTGCCTACTATAAAGAATTGGACGGAGTAATAATTCACACCTCTCCGTCCAATTCTTTATAGTAAATTACAAAAGTATCTATGTAAAATTTTAATTAACAATATATATATATATATATATTTAATTATGAACAAAGTTTCTAAATTACAAACATAACAGATAAAATATTTTTTGATTTTAATTATTTATTTATTTTCGATTTTTAGTATCTCTTTTTTTTTGGAATTTTGTGCCTATTTTTGGAAATGATAATCATGTATTAATTTTTCTTATATTATCTCACCAATTACCGTTTTTATTGTGCTTTGCAAATATTTTTTTACTTTTTCTGCCTTTTTAATTCAATCGATGTGAAAAGTAATTTTTTTTTATCTTTCAACCTCTTTAGTTTTCCAAGCAATTGTTATTTCCTATGCACTTCTATTTTCTTGAATTTTTTTTAAAACTTCTCTCTTCCGTCCGGGTTCTTCTTCTCTCTCCGAGTTCTGTTCAGCTGCATATTTCATCACTTTCAATAGGTTTGTTATATTTTAACTTTAGGGTCGTTTGGTTGGAAATTAGTTATCTCAAAATTAACTATTATGAAGTTAGTGTTAATATACTATGGATAGGACGCTCCGGAAAAAGCCCTAGGCTTAATAAATCAATCGTAGTTGGAACTTGGGAAAAATGTTAAATATACCCTGAACTTTTAAAATGATATGTATATACCCTCCATTATACTTTAAGGTCATATGTATTCCTACCGTCATACTTTTGAATCATATATATCCTTTAATCAAGCGGAATACTTTTGAATCATATATATCCTTTAATCAAACGGACAGACACGTGACACCATCTCAATAACTTACCCAATTTTTTAATTTTTTAAAAAAATCCAAATTCAAAAACCCACTCAATTATATTCTTACCCGCATTAAGACCCAAATTAAAACCCACCCATTTTGCATTGCCACAAACTTCTGCAATCCTTCCAACAAAGTATTTGATCAGAAAACTCACAAAATCAACAGCTTTACAACTTCATAACATCAAAGTATAACCCAAAACATTAATAAGACAATTAAGAAATCAATTCGATTGTCTCAGAAACTTAAAATTGCATATATTATCTACAACTATCTTCATAACTACAATAATTATATAAAGCAACAAAACTTAAATCGTTAAATTAGTATATTCCACTCTGTTTAGGTTCTTCATGACTAAGTAATTACCCAAGAAAGAGGAGTTTGTTAACAGTAACGAAGATGCGATTCAGAGAGAAATAGGAGTCATTGGAGAGAAACTCAGAGACGATTCAGAGTTCATCTAGAATTGTAATCTTCCAATAAAAGATTACTTTCATCATCTTCAAACTTTGTTCCATCTGGTTTCACTAGCTTTACCTCCAAATCCAACTCTTACATAGGTAATTCAATTTCAATTTTGTAATTTGATAAAGCATTAATTTTTTTGAAACCCACAATTTTGGAATGACAAAAAGCTGGTGGGTGCAGTGAAGGTGAGGAATCCAGAGTTTTTGAATGGAGTATGAAAGCGGTAGAGACGCACGCTGAGAAGCTTGAATCGAAAATCGGAGATTTCTGGAAGCTTTTGTTACTCGCATTTTGGTTAGGGTTTCCTTAATTTGGGTCTTAAAGTGGGTTAGGATATAATTGTGTTGGGTTTTTAAGTTTGGATTTAAGAAAAAAATTTAAAAATCGGGTAACTTATTGAGATGGTGCCACGTGTCTATCCGTTTGATTAAAGAGTATATATGGTCCAAAAGTACGACGGTAGGGATACATACGATCTTAAAATATAACGAAGGATATATACATACCTTTTTTGAAAGATTGAGATATATTTGACCTTTTTTCCAATAATAATAATAACCAAATTTGTCCAATTCTAACCAAGGTTTAGTTGATTTGTTTTTTTAATTGGAGTAATTTGTTTAGTTGCTAACTAAAACTTTTGTTTGACGGATCATATTTTTATATGCTAAGTTTGCCACAAAGACAAGGAGGTTAATCTTTAAATTTGTCAGGAAATGGAGCAAATGCACATTTGAATAGAACACATATTAGATATTATGCTTATATAGATTCAAAGGTGTAAAGATACACAATTAAAGCTAAATTAGATCTAACCACAAATTTGAGTTAAAACCCAAATTATTCTCAAGAATCCAATGAACAACCTAAATTATTAAGATAAGCAATAAGTAAAGTACCACTAAAACATGCATCAATTACCATTCCCTTGAGTCAAATTTATCTGGATTTTGAAAGTGATGTTGGTTTCTATGGGTGTCATCTGCTATCCAGTGTAACCAAGGGAGTTTTCCACTTTACAGATACCATAGAATGACATTGATATATACATGAGCGAGCTTACCTTCCATCCCTTTGGGATCATGTAACCATCATAAGCGATGTCTTGAATGGCCTCTCTAAATGTTCCATGTACTGGAGGACACTTCACTTGCAACATTCCAAGAATATCTCATTTTCCTTAAATCCTCCCAATTTAGCAAATCATTTGCAGTTTTCGAGTTGGCTATTTCCATTTGCTCTGCTCCAAGATATATGCCCAAATGAGTGAAATCAGTTAGCAATATGTGTTTGTGTCTAAATTATACTGATCACTTTCTTTTCATTACAATCGAGTCTAAACAGACTTTATAAAACTAAGCAAGAGAATTTCTTGAATTAGTGAAGTTTCATACCTTCAAGGACCTCAGAGTATATATTGGGATACTCAGCCATATATATATTTCATAATAATGGTTATTGCAGCGTTAACCGTGCTATAGCCGCCTTGTAGTAAGCCTACAATGTAGCTAGCAATATCGGACTCGTTCAAAAACTGTTGTTGCTCATTTGTCGCCTGGAGCATCTGAAACAAAATGTCATCTGGTGTAGCAATTTTATTCTCTGATAGATCACTTTTCCTTTTGATTGATGCCTTCTTGAACCTCTTTGCGCATCTTTTGGGATGCTCGGTTGAAAGTTGTTCCTGGTAGATGTATAGGCATAGAGAGCAGACCAGTGGAAATGTCTTCAATATACTTGGACTATCTTTCAACTTTCTTTGTGTCATCGAATAATTTGCAGGCCAATGAGAATATGTACTTCCTAACAGCAGGTAAAACCTTAATTTGTGGACAGTTCCAGTCAGTCTGAAGATGGCACCTCAAAATTGCATCTGCTACACTTGCAAATCTTTGAAGAGACACTGATAGCAATTTGCGCATGCTTGTAAAGTCTTCATGATTAGCTTTCTGATGAGTCTTAGGAAAGATTCTGATCTGAGAGGGGCTGATACCATTGTTCTTGAAATAGTATAAAAGAAAAGAAAAGAGGAGACTGTTACCAAGAAGGAAAACAATAAAGAGGAACTCCATTGAAGAACACAATGGAGGTAGCCAGAGTTTTGCAAAAGCATAATTTTAAAATGTCAAAAGAGAGACGCATTGTAACATGACAACCAGATTCCACGCTGGAGTAAAGCATTGTTAAAACTTTTAGATTATTCTCAATATATCTTGATTAGTTTGTATTAATCAATCAGTTTAGAATGTGAAACATGAAAGTAGACTCTTTATGATCCCTGATAATTAGGCCATGTTACTACATAAGAATGTGTGCGCTCTGAATTCTTTATTGATCCAAACATTAAGAAAACCTTGCTTGTACCTATATAATTCAGCCTCTCTTTGTACTAAAGAAATCATGCAAATTACCAAGCAATATAAGCATAAGAACACCAAGCTTATCATATATGACAAATCACAAAACCACTACAAACGCACAATATTCATTACTTCGATTTGTATGCAGAAAAAACATGCTAAACTAAAACAAGCCAATAAACAACAAAAAGAGAAAAACTTGGACTATTTCTAGCAACTTCAAAAGATTTATATAAACAGAGAATAAGATGTTGGGAGAAATGTGAAATTTGACCAAGGAAATGACAAAATAAATATCTTTTATCTTTGATTCAGAATCACAAATTTCATCTGTTGAATCTCCTTGAAGCTTCCATTCCCTAGTGAATCAACAAGCAGTCGTTGTAGTATAGTGGTAAGTATTCCCGCGGGTGACCCGGGTTCGATCCCTGGCAACGGCGTACATTGTCCTTTTGGACAAAAATATTCACATGAACAATTAAGCAACATTCATATTTAGAGATAAAAGAATTGAAAGAGCTCTAATCCCTACCATGAAAAATAAAATGTGTACAATTAAAGATAAATAATCATCTTAACAAGATCATTTTTGCCGATGAAGAACGAAATCTGTCATAGCAAGTAGTGGAGCTGCCTTCTCTGGATCAAAACCAACAAGCTGCTCCTTGGCCTCCTTGCTAAGTTTTTGAGCATATTCTTTGGACTTGTCAATGCCAATCATCTTTGGGTACGTCAATTTGTTAGCCAACAAATCCTTCCCCGCTGTCTTTCCTAATTGCTCAGAGGATTTAGTAACATCAAGAATATCATCCACAACCTGATACATCAGTCCAAAACACTGCGAGAATTTCCTAACTCTATTAATCTCCTCCTCAGACGCACCACCAACCAATGCTCCTACAATGGCCGCGGCCTCTGTAAAATCCGCTGTCTTGTGACTATGAATATACTTGAGCTCTTCTAATCCAGTATCAGAATTATCTCCACACAGCAAGTCAAGCACCTGGCCAGCCACTGCCCCCTCTGGTCCTATCAATCTTGCTAGTTCTCCAACAGCACGAACCATTGTTTTTGGGTGCACCCCTTTAGTGGTTGTTGCCATATGCTCAAATGCTAAGGCAACAAGTGAATAACCAGCTAGAACAGTGACATTTTCACCAAAAACCTTGTGATTTGACAGCTTTCCTCGACGGAGATCACCATTGTCCATGCAGGGAAGGTCGTCGTGCATCAGACACATAGAGATTATCATCTCCATTCCGCAAGCAGCAGGCATCACCGTTGATTCTTGGCCAGCAACAAGCTCACAGGCGGCTATGCAGAGTACAGGGCAAACCCGCTTGCCTTCAGAAAGGAGTGAGTATCTCATTGCTTCATGGAACTTGATAGGCTCTCTGATTGGAACAGCAGCATCTAAGGCTTGATTGACAGATTTGATCTTTTGAACCATGTAACTTTTGAAATCAAAGACACTTGTTGTCTTTCCAGATTCTCTACATATGTTTTCATGTTTGATAACTTCAGATTCATTCTTGGAAAGATCTGTGCTATTACAAAAGGATCTTGCTTTTGGGAGGAATATAACTTCTGTTGTTTCCTCTGAGGAAAGAAGCAACTTTGTTCCTGCAGATCTGGATCTTTTTGGAGTACCTCTTGTACTAAGTTTTGCAAGATTGTGGATTACTCTTTTTAGCATAGACATGACTCTTAACTTGAGAAGTCTGCCAATCTTTTTCTCTGATCTGGTGAATTACTATCCAGACTGGAATCCTCAAGCCAAAAACTTTATGGGACCTTGCTATAACTCATGAGTTGGCTCTTTGGTATTTTGCTCATACCTATAGAGGATGAGTGGAAGATTTTACCCACATAATGGTCTCACTCACATGACTTTAAGAAAAAATTGATTTCCAAAGTGAAAGCCACGAAGAAAATTATTACTCCTACATTTAAAAGGCAGATCCAGTTGGAAAGCAAGTCAAAATTATTTGGCACATTCAATAATTTATAAAAGCTCCAAGTTTGAATGAAGGAGGGGAAGTTGACATAGCACCAACCAAAGCTATACTCATTAATTATATATGACAAAAATGCAGGAATATTTTATGAAACTGAAGGCATTTCCCCTTTCTCTTCTCGTCAGTAAAGATTCTTCATTGCCAAAGATATGATGAAAATGGTAAGATTTTTCTTTTGTTGCCATGAACTCTATTCATTTTGGCCTCAGAATGCATGTCAAGGGTAGAGCCGTCAATATGGGCTAGGCCCGTTGGGCCGGCCTGGCCTAACCCGGGATTTAATAGGGCTGGGCTAAGATTTTTGGAGCCCATTTAAGAAAAAGGTTTTTTAGCCCGGCCTGAATAAGTCTGCTGATCTATGGGGCTTGAGAAATATAGGTAGGGCCGGCCCGTGGACTAAATAAAAATAATTAAAAAAATATAATATAATATTAAAATTTAAAATTAAAGAGAGTCCAAACTCAAAATCTATTTAATATTTAACTAATTGAAACCGCATATAAATTGCAGATGAAAATAAAGATGTTAAGACAACCTTGCCGCAAGCTGATTCAGATATGCTTGATGAAGATGATCA